TTTGTTTCGTTTTTTTTTGCGAGGAGTTTTCTGGCACGCTCACGCTGGTCAGCAGCGCTGGGAGACTCCTGCTGTGACTGCGGGGCTCAGCTAAACCTAAAGCTCTTAATTTAATGTGATCCCCAGTGTGTGTGTGTGTGTGTGTGTCTGTGTGTGTGTGTATAGTGTTGGTATTTTCCCCAGGGCTTCAGTTGCATGCGTGCTCACAAACTAATGTCACGTCAAACAGCAGTCACTATCAGCTCCTTTTTTGTTCTCTAATAAAAAACACTCGATCCTTAAGGGAAATATATTTCCTGTCAGCGTGATATCATATTTAATCATATGTTTGTTTTACCAGCCACCGCTTTATTTTCACCTTTTTTTTTTCTGAATAGTGGGCAATTGATTTTTTTTTCTTTTTTCTCCCCACACCTGAAAAGATCATTCCTGGGCCAGACGTGACACAGAAAGATGGAAATAAGATGCTATTACATGAAATTATCTATTGATTTTCATGCTGGGCTTGTAATGGTTATGTAGGAGGGTTACAGTGTCTCATGGTGAATTCCTCCGGTGTGTTTAACTGCCGTGGGGGGGTTGCTGAGGCAGAACCGTCTTCTAGGTCATATCAGTAGCTAGAAGATTAGACTTGCTAAATTTCAGGGCCATGGGAATGAAAACAAACAAGCAGGATCTGGTTACATTGGCCGTTTCCTCGCACTTCCGCTCTCTCATGCTGTCCCTCCACGAGCACCTTTATGTATGTTTGCACAGCGAGATGGGCATTAAGTGGGCAAAGGTCAGCAGATGAGACACAATGTGCCCACACACACACACAGACAAATCATCTCTGCTTGGGCAGAGTTTGATTAAAACCTGCCAAGTGTATTTTTATTTTTATTTATTTTTTTGTGTCTTCTCTTCGTCCATATGTATTTATAGATTGGCATCAGGCATGAAAAGCCCATTTCCTTCATCAGAACCTCCAGGGGACAGCCTGTCTGAATCCTGGGTCTCGTGACGGTGGAGCTTGACTTGTCTTTGCAGGTGGAGCAAAACAAGGAAGGAGCCCCGCAAACCGCGTCCAGCCACTCCTGACTGTGACACTGCCAGAGACATTGTGCTATTGATGACATGCACTTATGTCTTTTTCTGTGAACTTATGTCCCCAGCTTGGCCACTGCCAGAGTCTTAACGTTTATTGCCCTGTTGATAATGAATAGTCCTTATTGACCGTGCCGACATTGTCTCCTCGTCATTACACAGTCGTATGCCCTTTTTATGACCCATGATAATCTATTGTCAGGAATTTTAAGTGACATGTGGCGAATGGCGTGTGAAAACGTACCTCCACCCCCACCTAGTGGCAGTACAGACACGCACACCCACATCAGATTCCAAGCACTACATGACACTTTTTTTTTTTTTTGTGCTAGTGCTTAAGCCTTTTCATGTGTCCTGTCCTGTGGACCGTGTTTAGGAGGGGAAGAAGAAATTCGATAAGGAGACGGAGAAATACTACTCCACGCTTGAGAGGCACCTCAACTTATCGTCCAAAAAGAAGGAGGCATATCTGCAGGAGGTAAAAACCCAAACAAATGTTCCTGATCTCCAAACATGTCTTTGAATAATGCGGTTTTTATGGATGAGTGTCTCCCAAAAAAAGAATAAAGCCATTGTTTGCGCACTGTTCTGTCGCACTTCCCCCAGCACACAAAGTCTCCAGGTGGGGAATGACTCCCTGTCCACACAGTGCTCTCTCGTTTCGACCCGCGTCTTTGTTGTGGCACTAACCCCGCCCCGGTTTGTTTGCTCATTCTCAGGCTGACACGCAGATTGATAAGGAGAGGCAACTCTTCTATGACGCGTCCCTCGAGTATGTTTTCAAAATACAAGAAGTGCAAGAAAAGAAGAAATTTGAGTTTGTTGAGCCGGTAAGAAAAGTATCATTTTTGCATATTTCTGTGCTCAGTTAGTGCTGAATGCATATTGAAGATGCACTAATTGCTTTACCTGTTTTTAAAAAAAACAAAACTAAATGTAGATAAAAGATTAGTGATGGAAGTGGTGTTTTAAGTGTCTGGCACAGTGATGCATATCTCAGGTAGATATATATATACACTTGTATATTCCACACATTTGGCATCTTCATTACAAATTCTCTGTAATAAAGTCGAATCCATCCGGGGAAGGTAGTGGGTAAAATTAGATCAAGTGGTTATTGTCAAGCAAAACAAGACAGAGTGCAAATCAAAGCCTCCAGATATGTGGAATCAATTCTAACATCTTTAGCAGAGGAGTTACCAGGAAACATTAAGTTCTCTGGGTGTTAAATGTCTGGAAATGTGAGATGGGAGCAAAGTGAATGTTTAAAAAAACAACCTTGGTATTTGTTTGCACCCGCTGGCAGCTCACCCAGAACCCGGGCCAGAAATGTAAATCTCCAGGCCCCAGGTAGTGGTGGGGAAGAAATGACAAGGCTCAACCTTGCCAGTGATGAATCTGGGCGCTGATAAGATGGTTCATCCTTGAACATATACCCAGTCCCACACCTCATCCTAGGAAATAAAAATCAGTGGTTGTGTCTGAGGAGTTGTCTGAGAGCAGCTCCGTGTTTGTGGGATCCTCCACGCTAGAGATGGGATCAGCTTTTTCCCCCAACAATACTGCCAGTGCTTCCCCCACACACACGCACACACATACAGAAAATAAGATCAATATCTGTCAGACATAAAGAACCACAATTTTTGAAAAACTTTCATGTTCTTTTGTTTATCTTATGTACGGTATATAAAGTTTTCGTCAGATCTGCAAATAAATTTTTCTTCAAAGTACAATAAGTTTCATAAGAAATTAATTGCTTTTCAACTGTACAATGCAACATGTGCATTATACTTAGAGTTTTACTTCAAAAGTGGATCTGCACAGTGTGACATTTACTCTGACAAATTGATTGACAGCACAGCATTAAAGCAAATTGTGCACGTTTTAGGCGACATTATTATGATCATATTGTAATTAAATCCAGAGTTTAAAAATAACAATCAGTACAGACTGAACTCTCCATGCTTTAGAGAGACTGAATGATAATTGTGTGATTATAGTGGTGATAATCATTTTGGGTGTTCAGAATGGAACATTTTATGTCGCATTGTACCTTTTTTTGAAATGTGCTCTCTGCTGGGAATTGGTAATCAAGCTCTATATTAACTCTCTAAATCACCTCTACTCATCGTTCCTCTCCAGCTCCTGGCCTTTCTTCAGGGCTTGTTCACGTTCTACCATGAAGGATACGAGCTGGCTCACGAGTTTGAGCCGTACAAACAGCAGCTCCAGTTCAACCTACAGAACGTAAGTCTCAACACCTCGGGGGGTTGCACACAAAGGCAACCGGCCACGTAATCAGATTCTGCAGCTTATCATACCCCCCGATATAACAAGCAGGAGTTTTCACAAATGGATAGACGCGCGATTAAATGAGATTCTGCGCTTGCACTGAGGATCAATATTTTCAGAGTGTTGTATTGCAGGCAGTTACTGCAGGCCATTTAATGGTACTGTGTCAAGAAGAAGAAGAAGAAAAATAAAGAGGTAGAACTGGGTGTAAAACTACAGCTGCTGCCGTGCCCTCTCCTTTCCATCACCATGACCTCACCGCTCGCAGCCCGAGGGCTCAAATTTCTCTCTGACCCGAAATGTCAGCGCCGTTGCCCCGACAATTTCCACTCCCGTGACCCTCTCTCCATGTCCTCAGATGCAGAGGGCTCTAATAGGAGGTGGACAAGGTGAGGCTGTCTCTCTAGTAAGGGGATATATGAGACAGCCTCACACTGACCTTTTTAAATAAAAATAGAAAAGAGTCGTTCATTTGGACGACCTCAAGTGTATTCCTCCAATATAGACACAGTGTATTTGAATTAGATGCTGCATCTTGTAGTTCCAAACAGTTTGCCATTGGGTACTTTCCCCCAGGTGTCCTCACGCCGGAGCACAAATGTGAAGCATTTATCAGCGGTTGACGTGTTTTTGCTTTGTTGAGCCTTGATGCAGGCAAAGTAAGGGCACTTGAGATGAGAAACTGCAGGAAAAAAAAAAAAAATGAAGTCACACAAGACTTCCTCCGCTAATGCAATTACAATCCAATCCTGCGCAGACCCGAAACAACTTTGTGAGCACTAAGCAGGAAGTGGAGAAGCTGATGAAGAGGATAAGGTCTGCAGATCAGGACTATAAACCCCCAGGCCAGTGGACGATGGAGGGCTTCCTGTACGTCCAGGAGAAACGTGAGTTCTTTCCAGCCAGTCAGCCCCCCCCCCCCCCCCCCCCCCCCTTCAGACCTCACTTATAAGTGCATGGTTTTACATCCATCACCATAAACATGTCTGGAGCTTTCCCAGGCCTCTACAGGAGATCCTCTCACACAGAGCTCATAATTCATCCTGTTTACCGATTCACTTTGATGTGCTATCAAACACGAGGTGGTGGGGGGGGGGGGGTTTATCAGCAGTGCTAGACAACATTTGATTCATCACACTTTAATTGCAAATTGATTTTCAGAAGTCTGCCCAGAAGCCTGTGATTCAGAGAGAAATATTTTGTCTCAAGCCCTTGTGTCTTCGTGTCTCTGTCCTAGGTCCCCTGGGATGCACTTGGACGCGTCACTACTGCACATACGAGAAAGGCAGCAAGACCTTCAGCATGAGCAACACTGAAAGTAAATCGGCCGCGAAGCAGGTAGTTTAGTTTTAGTTTTAGTTCAGTTTAGTTGCACGTACAAATCACTGAGCAAGAGCTGTCTCTGTGGGCGATGCAAAGAACTCCCTTGGGGCTTATATGGATGCCTCACCCAGAGGGGGGGGGGAAATAAATCAAGATGACAGGACTGCGACTTGGGAACAGAAAATAAAAAACTTGTTAGCTCAAGGTGGACAAAAATGGTTCAAAGATAACAAAATACACAAATAACAAGAAAGGGGACTTAAGGAATGAAAATAGCCTCGTTACAGAGAGAGAGTGTGGGTGTCTTGTTTTGTACACGATCAACTGAACAGATTCGCTTCATTTACAAGCATGTGCACTTAAATGTGAGTGAAAGCTTCCCGAGACTTCATATAGATCAAATAATCAAGTTATAATTATGTCATTGTGTATTAGATCCACCAAGAGTCTGATTGTATTACTGTTTTTAGACGTGCATAACGGGAAGAATTGAAGATGAAGGCTTCACGAGTGCATTCGAATTTGTTTGTTTTTTTCATCGATGGATGGTGTGTTTGTTTTTTCAGAACGGTCTTGTCCTTAACCAGCCGGAGTTGTTCAAGCTCAAGTCCTGCATTCGGAGGAAAACGGACTCCATCGACAAGCGTTTCTGCTTTGATATTGAAGTGCTGGAGAGGTCTGTGATTGTTCGGATCGTACACGTGTTCCCAAAAATGTCTTGCCACTTACATGGACTGAAAACATATTAATTACCACCGCCTCCAGCATGTCGACATTTGTTTTCCATCACTAGTTAGATCAGGGTATTGGAGAAAACATAACAGATCAGCATGCTGCTGGTATAAATAATGACAGTTACCAAGTATACATTTTGACGTTAGAGGGTAACTTTGGTGTGTTTCAACCTGGACCCTATTTCTCCATGTTTTTGTGTCTAACTTGATTAAGAGGGACAACAATTTCTGATATTGGTCCAGTATTGAGGGCGAGAGAGCTGTAGATGGCACCGTCATTTACGTCCATTACATCCCCTCCTCCCACACACACACACACACACACACTCACAGACGTGCAGACAGACTCGCTTCGTGCAAACCTCTCACACTCATTATTCATATTTGTGAATAAATGATTTGCATTTTGAATAATGTAAAACTGCCGGCCGTTCGTACACCATTAAATGATATTTTCGTGCACCCCCCCCCCCCCCGCCAAAATGTAGCTTTTGAGGCTTCGTTGTCTAAAGTGTCAATCTTGTCATTCTACCCTTGTATTACAATCTGAGCCTCTCAGTGGCATAAACGAGCACTTTTAGTGGTTAACCTTACATGGACGCTGCGCAATTGCCCTCTCGGTTTGATTGGCAGCTGCCGGTGCAAAACAATGTTTGTTCCCATGAGTCACTTAGACACAAAACTTGGGAAAATATGGTTGAAACATACCAATGTGTTTGCATATAACTCTCTATCAAAGCAAAAGTCACCCCATGGAATCATGGGGTGACATGGGGTTACAACTAACCAATTTGAAGATCGAGGAAGTGCACGTGGGAATTTCTTGCTCTCATGCATTTTTTGTCCGATTGAACCCAATTGATATACAGGCAATTAAGCTAGATTATCATGGGAGTACTCAGCATTGCAAGAACCGTTCAGGTTTGATTAACATCTTCAAAGAGACCCTGTTTACCAGATGTTTTCAGCTCTGTTTGTCTCCTGCACGTCCCTCAAGTCCCCCCTCCCTCCCAGGCTCTTGTTTGTTGTGTGTCCACGACATCCATATTTACCCAGTCCGTCTTTTCTCTGTGTTCATGTCAATGTAGAAATGACATCTATCGTGGAACTCTTTTCAGGCCGCTTCAGTTTTTCTGTAAAGTCCGGTATGTGAACTGACCAGTGCTGCCCTCTCAGAGCAGTTGCATGTGCTGCATGTGTGCGCTGCTAACCGTGTCACCTGCTCAATCTCTAATCCAAACCCTTTGATGAAATACTGCCGTCTTCACAAAATCACTTGGTCAACATGGGCTTGAGAACACAGACATATTCTTAAATGATTTCCAGTTGCCTGCAATTACTCAAATAACACATTTGATTTACGTCATCCCGGGAATCAATCGATCATTTTGCCTCTCTTAAGAAGTTTGAAATCTCTTAGCCGTGTGGGAACATTCATACCTGATTTGTGTTTACCGGGGTAAACTTGGGGACTGGGATAAGGGTTTGGCCAAAGATCAAACACCTTGGAGAGAATTCGCCCGCTGATGAACAGTGGCCGGATTGATCCGAGTTATGAGAGCTTGGCATGAGCTCATTATCGGGACGCGTGCTCCAGAATATAGAGCTAGCTCATCCCCCGTGTGTTATTGTTGCACAGCGCCGGCAGGGCCAGCACTGCTCACCCTTGGCGTGGTGTTGCTGAGCATGGACAATAACTGCAGTTTATTTGCAGGACAACTCATTTATCATAAACGGGCGATGGTCCCAAGGTGCTTGTTCCAACCGCAAGGACGATGTGGGCCAAGCTCCAGTCGGCTTCAAGCTCATCCATTCATCCTCATTATAATAAACATGCTGGTACACCTATACAGCCCCGCCGCATTCTGGCAAGCCCTCTCACAAACTCCTCTTTAAAGGGTTGGTTCACACAAATGACTAAAAGGGGGTATTCAGCCATGCAAATGGTTTTATTTTATTTGCACAGAGTTACGCAAGTGAATAGAATTTAATCTGTGGTGCTCATGGCAATGAAAAAAAATGTAATTAAATAAATTCACCAGCAACGTGTCTCTCTAAATAGAGTATCCCAAGTACTCCACACACGGGGGTCGAGGTGTCGCTGTTGAATCTTTGAAATGTTTTCAATCTTGTGAGCATCAGAAATCAAATTCCCTCCTCTGTATTCAAGGTTGGACGCATTAATGTCCGAGCAAGATATCTCAAAACTTGGTTCAATTAAAGCAAAACTATCTGCATGGCGAGATGCCACTAGAGGTTAACGCTGAAAATTTGGTTAATGTTACCCATTAATCGCAAAACACATGCCACGTGACATGGCTCCATGCTAGTACTAACTATCACTACCGGGTGGGGGTTTGTTTTTGTTTGCCAGTGTCATCAGATAATGTTAGTGGTGCTGTGTATCAACTGCAGGTTTAATGCACAGTTTCAAGCTATGTATCACGCGAGTGAGGTGAGGAACAAATGTTAAGGTGTCTCTGCATGTTGGGTGCCCCCCCAAAAGAAAAAATCAAAACAAATCACTTTAATCTCAAGCACATGTAGCGTTTAACTGGGAGTGGAATGGGAAGCACCGAGCCAAGCGAGGGCACAGTTTGAAGTCAAGCATTTGCACATGAGCTATTTTAGTCGCACTAGTCCTTTTATAGTGGTCTCAGCCAATGTAAACAAGGTCTGTCCAGGGGCCCCCGAGGCAATGCGATCAGACTGAGAGCAGCTTTTCTCTGAAATCTTTCCAGGCATGGCGTTATGACACTGCAGGCACTCTCCGAGCCCAACAGAAGATTGTGGCTGGAGGCCATGGATGGCAAGGAGCCGGTGAGAAACTCTTGCCTGTTTGTCTTTGAAATATTCACTGTGAGGCCGGCTGGCACCCTCGTCTGGAGGGTTCAGCTCCTTTTTTTTTTGAGAAACCATGACCTCACTGTCCACTTGTGCTAATAATAGGACAGTCCGCTTCACAGGCCCTCTGGGAAAAACAGAATTCTGTTCTTTCTGGGAGTTTTTCTTTTTCAATTTTAACCCGACGTTCCTTAACATAATAATGATTTTGTGAACTTTCTCTAGATTTACAACCTGCCCGCCATACTAAGCAAAAAAGAAGAAAGTAAGTGTGTTTTTTTTTTTATATATA